TAATATTACTATATTGCTAAGTTATAGGCTAAATATTTTATTCAAGTCTAAGTTTTTCTTACGGCTTCGCTCGCGTGGTCTCCGGTTTAATAAAATCAATAGTGCACCGTGCTAAAAGGAACAAAACTCAATCCCCTCTATAAAAACTCTATAAAAAACTTCGGCGTCATAAACGCTTTACTCAGGGAATTGAATTAAGTGTTAATGATTGGATGTTAAACGTGACGTTTGAAATTTGGATTTCGACTAAAAGCAAAAGGCATTCATACTAGTGGATTCGTTTGAATATGATCTATTACTGTAATGTTATTTTTAGATTTAGCTATAAGATAATCAAAGATCATATTTTATTAACTTTTATTTTTTTATATATATTCAAGTTTTTCGAATTAAATATAGCCTAGATCTCTCCTGGTCTTTAGGTGTTATAGTCAACTAAATCTAAGAAATATCTTTTGTCGTTTCACATTAATCATTCCGCAATAACTTTGCACAAACGTACTCACACGATTTAAAATAACCTTTTAGTAAATTCGAAGAATTATAAAGTTCTAAGTTAAATCTATATTACATTATAACGTGTATAGTTTTTATCACTAATTTAGATTTGAATCTTTCAAACAAAGCAAAATATTAAAAAAATAACCAGTATCAACTTTTTTACTTAACGTCATTTCAATATGTCGCTATGTACCTTACCGTAGTGTTTGGATGATATAAGATCAAACGAACTTCTCAAGTGAAGTTCGATCATTATTATATGAATCGCTTCATTTGACGATATAATTATTCACCAGGTAGTCCCCTTAACCTACAGGTGACTTTGCACGCTTTAAAAGACACTCAACTGACTAAACTAGGTTGGCTGTGAACCGACTTACCCCTACCACCGCTGACTCGGGGACGGAGTGAGTCGCCATTCTGAGCTCATTATTTTTAGAGTGTAGAGAAAAACTTTCCGAATTAGGGCTAGCAAACTACTGCTATGGGAGGGTGGGTAATGGCTTATATCTTCAAATGAAGCGATTCATATAATAATGATCGAACTTCACTTGAGAAGTTCGTTTGATCTTATATTATATTTCATCGCTTCATTTTTCAGATATAGTTATTCACCAGGTAGAATTTTAGAGCAGGAAGTTTTTCGTTGTAATAAAATAATATATATTTCTTAGAATATATTTATTAGTTACCGATCGGTACATGAAACGTTATGTAATCACGATAATTTGAACAATTAGTTTTGTATTTATGAATACAGAAAAAATCTTAAACTAGTGATTGGGCGTAAAGCAAGCGGATCTTGCAAAGTTCCCCTCATCAACCAGGGTTCTATTGTAAAATCGCGCAAAAGTATTCGATGTAGGAGTCCATCCGGCAGCTTTACGGATGACATCAACGCTGAGGCCCGCGCGGCCCGCAGCTGAGGTAGAGGCGTGGCGAGTGCTGTGGGCGCCAAACGTTGACGTATCCACGCCGCTTTCCAAGAGCACTTGTTTAATCCATCGACTGATTGATTGCGTCGTGGCTAGTCTATGTGGTGGCTTGTAAGTGAGGAACAGTTTGCCTATGTTTTCCGATCTTTTACTTTCTGTGACAGAAATATAATCTTTTAGAACGGTAGCTGGGCAAATATTCACATTTTCTAAAAAAAAATGGCTCTCGGCCTAGGGTGGAAGTCTTTATTAGATCAGTAATTATGATCTTAGCGTTATTGTGAGAAAATGATATATTTTCCAACTTAATTAATGATAGCGTTTGTACTCTATGGGCTGTACAGAGGGCTAATAAAATTGCTAATTTCTTTGTAATTTTTTCCAGATTTAAATTCGTATTAGGATGCCACCCTGCAACGTGATTTAAAACACTTTGAGGGTCCCAGGTCTGTGTAAATTTTGGAATGTTCGGCCTTAATTTATAAGCTCCTTTTAGCAATCGACTTACATGTTCGTCGGAACCAATATTATTTCCGTGATAGCGCTGATCTATGCGAATTGAGACTTCCGTGTAAGAACAACCGGCATTAAACTGGTCAGTAAAGAAGGATGAAAAAGGAGATATAGATGGTTGAAATGGATTAATATTTCTGTTGTCACAAAACGGCCACCATGCTTTATAGGTAACATTATACTGTTTTACCGTGCTATCGGAGAGCGATGCTAGCATGAGGTTGAGGGCCTCTGGTGGGCATCTCCGGGTGAAAGCTTGCTGGAGAGCCTCGCGGCACCCAAGGTAAGGCTCGCGTGTAAAGGGTGGTGTTCCCTGGAATGTGATCGTAAAAGATTCTTGTTAGGGCGCAAGAACAGAATATCAGATGCTAATAACCCTTGTAGTAAGGGGAACCAGAGCTGTGAAGGCCAATAAGGAAAAACAGAGATTCCGTGAGCCCTGTCATCCATTATTTTCCTTAAACAATTTAATATTATGGAAAATGGGGGGAATGCGTAAAAATAACATCCGCTCCAGTTTATAGTAAAAGCATCTACAGCCATTGCATCTGTATCCGGTCTCCAAGAAACAAAGTTTGTGCATTTGGCATTAGTGCGAAAGACCAGGTTACCACAGACCCGAGCAAATACCGCCCCATTACGTGTCTACCCACCATATAAGACACTGACATCCATTTTGAGCGCGAGAATCACTCGTCACCTGGAGCTAAATCAGGTGATGTCACGCACTCAAAATGGATGTCGGGGCGGTGGTCGTGGAACTAAGGAACCACTTCTCATTGACGCGGTCATTGGCAAAGTGGTGAAACGCAACCGTCGGAACTTCTCAGCCGCCTGGATAGACTACAGAAAGGCATTCGACACGGTGCCCCATACATGGCTGAAGAGAGTGATCGAGCTGTACAAGATAGACTGTACAGTGAGAGACTTCCCTCGAGCGGTGTATGGTGCAGTGGAGTACGATCCTTTGTCATCTGGGTGAGCGGATGATAGCTGCGGAGAACCACATAAGGATAAGAAGGGGTATCTTCCAGGGCGATTGTCTGAGTCCAATCTGGTTCTGCCTCTCCCTGAACCCTATCAGTACCTTACTAGAGGGATCCGGGAGAGGATTTCAGCTACGGAAAGGAGGGACAAAAGTGACCCACCTTTTCTATATGGATGACCTTAAGTTATTCGCCTCCAGTCGCTCCCATCTTATGGAATTGCTAAAAATCACTTGTGAGCTTAGCAGTTCCATTGGAATGGAGCTGGGGACGGATAAGTGTTCGGTCCTCCATGTTGAGAGGGGAATGGTTGCTAACTCTGAGGGCATAGATTTATCTATGCCCGTCAACTTAAGGACCCTTTCCGAGGCTGAAACATACCGATACCTGGGTATGTCACAGAACATCGGTATCGATGAGGTTGGTGTGAAACAGTCAGTTTGCGACGTGTTTTATGCACGCTTGACCAAAGTGCTTAATAGCCTTTTGTCCGGTGTGAATAAGACACACTCATATAACGGTTGGGTCATGCCTGTCCTTATGTATACCTTTGGCATACTCAGGTGGACTCAGACTGAACTTAACGCCCTGGATAGAAAAGTCCGCACTACCATGACGTCCCATAGGATGCATCATCCGAGATCGTCGGTAATGAGGCTGTACTTGCCGCGAAAGCATGGTGGGCGTGGCTTTCTGAGCGCGCTCACTATGCATAATCGTGAAGTGTGCAGCCTCCGTCATTATTTCCTGGCGAGATCGGATGATCCATTCTATAATGACGTCATTTCTAGTGATAAAGGGCTTACCCCTCTATCCTTGGCCAACGAGCAATGGCAGGACCCAGCAGTGCTTAGCATTTACGACCGGGAGACCGTATGGAAGGAGAAGGAGCTCCACGGGAGGTACTACAGGGCTCTACATGAGCCCTTCGTAGATACAGTCGCCTCCCTCAACTGGCTACGTTTCGGTGACCTCTTCGGGGAAACCGAGGGTTTTGTCTGTGCAATACAGGATCAGGTTATTAAGACCAACAACTATCGGAGATACATCCTAAAGGATGGCACCGTCGACGTCTGTCGAGCTTGTTGCCATCCCGGGGAGTCACTTAGGCATGTCATCTCCGGTTGTTCGGCGCTTTCTAACTCTGAGTACTTGCACAGGCACAACCTAGAAGCCAGAATTCTACACCAGGAGGTCGCTCTGAAATACGGTCTCGTGGACCGGAAATTGCCGTATTACAAGTACTTGCCGGAAGCCTTGCTCGAAAATGACCGCGCCAGGCTCTACTGGGACCGGGCCATCATCACAGACAGGACTATTCTTGCAAATAAGCCTGATATTGTGCTGATGGACCGGGCACAGTCAAGGATATTTTTGGTCGACATTACCATTCCGTATGACGAGAACCTCGTGAAAGCCGAAACAGATAAGCGAACAAAATATCTGGACCTGGCTCACGAGGTGACCGACATGTGGGGTGGTTGGCCGACCGAAATTATTCCTGTAATCGTCTCTGCGAATGGGCTAATCCCAGTCAGCCTCTCGGGTCATCTGAGGCGACTGGGACTCCGTGACGGACCGCTCCGGGCTCAAATGCAGAAGGCAGTGGTCCTCGATACCGCCCGCATCGTCCGTCGGTTTATTTCCCTTTCCCCCTAACCCTCGGCCGTTTGGTCTCCCCTGCCGAGGGCTTCCATCTGGTTGGATCTTTATTTATTTGTGTATTTTTTGTATTTATTTTATTTTATTGATATTTATGAATATTTATCTTTTCAATTTAATTTATAATTATATATTTATAGAAACCAACCAGATGAGAAAACTATACAGATACCCCAAAAATAATAATAATTATATATTTATAATTGATTTATAATTATATATTTATAGAAACCAACCAGATGAGAAAACTATACAGATACTCCATAAATAATAATAAATAATGGATGATGGATTTGACTGGAATGCGCAAAGGGCCGCTGCCTGGAGGACGCCAGGGCGCGTCTGGAGCTGGCGCTGGACGCGACAGCATGCGAACCGCCAGCTAACGTGCGCGATGTGCTGCATGACCACACAGCAGCCAGCCTCGCATCCATCATCCCCATCAGCTGGCTTGATGTCGGCAGGGTCTTCGCGGGCCCAGCAATCGGCACCCGCCACTGGTGTAGCACGCCGCATGCGTTGGACAACTCAAATGAACAGCAACGCATTGTGGGCGTATTTTAGGGCGAAAGGGGGAGAAATTGGAGGTTTTGCGTATCGGGCAAGGATGCATCTACTTTTTGCTGAGCTGGAGCCATCTGTAACCGTCACCGAGCAAAACCTGGCATACCGAGTTCGGTATATCTTGCGCTCAAATACATTTGATGTCACCGAACTCGAACGGCTACGACGTGATGCTGTTCCTTCATCGTATGAAAATGCTATGGCTGAGGGTGCGGCGCCACAACTTGCAGAGCTACCGGCAAACGTGTATGCCGCCGTGAATACCCCAGTTTTGGTTGATTCAAACGATGATGGAACAGTCGCCCAGGAACTGGAACTGGAGTAAATGAGGAGTACATTGGATGAGGCGATTTTGGAAACGCGCAGTACGCCTCTCGAAAATTGACCGCGACTTCCCCGCATAGCCCTCAGCAAGCGGAATCGGGCTATCGTGAGGGCTCTGAACCCAATACTGGTGACCTATTTGGAAGCCAGCCGGGACCTTTGGAGACGACCTCCTTTGGCCGCACTGGCAGTCTGCCGTATTATAGGCGCCCAACCTTTCCAAGGCTGGACGCACTACTGGACCAAGTAATGCCATCCCAGCCTGGAGAACAAGAATTAAAGAACGTATTGCAAAGGCTAGGGCCCTCATCGGCAGACTGATATGCTTCAGGTCAGGCAATACCAGGCCAAGGATTGTGCGTACCGTCAGGATGGCGTTTGCTGGGACAAATGTTAGTTTGTCCCAGCCGGATATAATACAAAAACTGACGGAGCGCATAGACGACCTGAAGCAGAGAATCGCTGCTTGGAGAAAGCGGATTCGGCGATATACCGAGAGGTCGACACGGTTCAACCAGAATCGTCTCTTCCGAGTGATCAGAAGAGGCTCTTAAATTCATTGAAGCGACCAATGGTAAGTGGAACGGGCCCAGTACCGAATCAGGCCGACACGGTCGCATTCTGGCGCAGCCTGTGGTCAGAGCCCGTAAACCACAACGAGGGCCCTTGGGACGGAAGTTGTGGCGAGTCAGTGTGCGGGTATTACGCCCATGGATCCCGCCATCATAACGCCGGATGACGCAGCTGAGGTAGTCCGTAGAGCTCCGAACTGGAAAAGTTCGGGGCTTGGCGGGCTGCATCACTACTGGCTGAAGGGGTTCATGGTGTGTCATGCTGTGCTCGCTCGACAGTTTCAAGAGGCTCTCAACCAGAAGTCGCTCCCGAGCCTCTTCACTACCGGGATCACTCATTTGGTTCCTAAAGATCAGGGTGCCACAGACCCGAGCAAATACCGCCCATCACGTGTCTACCGACCATATACAAGACACTAACATCCATTTTGAGCGCGAGAATCACTCGTCACCTGGACTCAAATCAAGTGATGTCGCGCGCTCAAAATCGATGTCGGAGCGGCGGTCGTGGAACCAAGGAACCACTCCTTATTGACGCGGTAATTGGCAAAATGGTGAAACGCAACCGTTGGAACTTCTCCGCCGCCTGGATAGATTACAGAAAGACATTTGACTTGGTGCCTCATACATGGCTAAAGAGGGTCCTCGAGCTGTACAAGATTGACTGTACAGTTCGAGACTTCTTCGAGCAGTGTATGGGGCAGTGGACTACGATCCTCTGTCATCTAGGCGAGCGGATGACGGCTGCGGGAAGCCGCAAGAGGATAAGAAGGGTTATATTCCAGGGCGACTGTCTGAGTCCAATCTGGTTCTGTCTCTCTTTGAACCCTCTCAGTACTTTACTGAAGGGCTCCGGGAGGGGATTTCAGCTTCGGAAAGTAGGTACAAAAGTGACCCACCTTTTCTGTATGGATGACCTCAAATTATTCGCCTCCAGTCGCTTCCATCTTATGGAATTGCTATACATCACTTGTGAATTTAGTAATTCTATTGGAATGGAGCTGGGGACGGATAAGTGTGCGGTCCTCCATGTTGAAAGTGGAAGGGTTGCTAAATCTGAGGGCATAGACTTATCTATGCCCGTCAACTTAAGGATCCTTTCCGAGGCTGAAACATACCGATACCTGGGTATGTCACAGAACATCGGTATCGATGAGGCTGGAATGAAAGAGTCAGTTTGTGACATGTTTTATGCACGCTTGACCAAAGTGCTTAACAGCCTTTCGTCCGGTGTGAATAAAACACACGCATATAACGGCTAGGTCATGCCTGTCATGTATACCTTTGGCATACTCAGATGGAGTCAGACTGAAATAAACGCCCTGGATATAAAAGTCCGCACTACAATGACGTCCCTTAGGATGCATCATCCGAGATCGTCGGTAATGAGGCTGTACTTGCCGCAAAAGCATGGTGGGTGTGGCTACTTGAGCGCGCTCACCATGCGTAATCGCGAAGTGTGCAGCCTCCGTCATTACTTCCTGGCGAGATCGGATGATCCATTCTATAATGACGTCATTTCTAGTGATAAAGGACTTACCCCTCTATCCTTAGCCAACTAGCAATGGCAGGACCCGATAGTTCAGAGCATTTCCGACCGGGAGACCGTATGGAAGGAGATGGAGCTCCACGGGAAGTACTACAGGGCTCTACATGAGCCCCACGTAGATAAAGCCACGTCCCTCAACTGGCTACGTTTCGGTGACCTCTTCGGGGAAACAGTAGGTTTTGTGTGTGCAATACAGGATCAGGTTATTAAGACCAACAACTATCGGAGATACATCCTAAAGGATAGCACTGTCGACGTCTGTTGAGCTTGTCGCTATCACGGGGAATCACTTAGGCATGTCAACTCCGGTTGTTCGGCGCTTTCTAACTCTGAGTACTTGCACAGGCACAACCTAGTAACAAGAATTCTACATCAGGAGCTCGCTCTGAAATACGGTCTCGTGGACCGGAAATTGCCGTATTACAAGTACTTGCCGGAAGCCGTGGTCGAAAATGACCGCGCCAGGCTCTACTGGGACCAGGCCATCATTACGACCAGGACTATTCTTGCGAATAAGCCTGATATTTTGCTGATGAACCGGGCACAGACAAGGATATTTTTGGTCGACATTAACTGCACCTCATCATATTGGTTATACAATGTGTCCAGCTTACCCATACGCAATTGCAATTCCGTCGCGTCATGTTTTGTAAATGTGTAGTAAGCGAATCCAAGTAACCAATGAAAGCAGTTAAGCGGCCTTTAAAACTACCTCGTTTTTTGATCAACTACTTTTCTTCGGTCATTCTGGAAGACGAGAGTATTCGATCGGGAATGTATACAATTACAAATATTCAAAAACAATCTCCGACTATCTAATACACTAACTAACTACTAAGCTCTGAAAAACTACTTAACTACATACAGTATTCAGTTACTAACTCGGCAAATAATAATTTAATAATATTATAGTGACAAGTAACTTTACACAATATTTCTCGACGTTCAAATAATAGTAGATAAATTTATGATTTAAGCTACTTACAATACCTAATTCAATTATTACATACCCACGAAATCAAAGAAAAAACCAACAATCGTCCTATGCTACAATTACAATTATGCTATTACTTTAGTATAATTTTATTACCTATAAAACACTCTAAACAACAAAATAAATAATAATTAAAGCCTAAAAACATTTACTTGGTGTAGGTAATAATAATTAATGCTACTATACGATTTCTACTGCACAACTATACTAAATAAAGTAAATAAGTAAAAAATAATGTAGATTAATTACTAACAGTATCCTTACAATACAATTTCTTACTTAATTACTGCAAATTATCAAAAAAATTGCGAATGTTAACCACAACGCAGTAGGTAATTAATAATCGATAAGAACAATAAATTCACTAACCTATAAGTCCGGTGATTTACACTAAATACTATTAGATTACCTTAATAGAGTGTTGGGTGATGATGAATCTTAAATTTTATCTTAAACACCACGTAATTACTGCAAATTGACCCAAGTTCTTGATGGCGGCGACGTAACTCCAAATTTGATTCCAACGTAAACTCCACTAAATTTACCATATACGAGTATAATATTAATTCTGGTGCTTATTATTTTATATCCGGCGACGATCCAGGACCATGTTCGGGAGTTTACGGGAATTTTAAAATAATGTAACTTGAATGTGGTATTGGACGATTGTATTGATCTTACAACAGCTGAGTGGGTAATGATATATTGCAAAGACAAAGACCCTGTTTAAAATTAACGTTATGTAAGTACGGACGTAATTACTACAAGTACGTTGTTTAACTCTTTGCTCAGAAAGAATGCACAGGCACTCCAAAAACCTGTATGTTCGAAAGGCGACTTTATTCGATACGCCGGTTTGCTCGTGATGTGAAATGGCGGGAATTGCAAATTTTTGCTAACTTGCAAATTTTGCTATATTTTTACTTTGAGACAATATTTATGGATAAAACTTACAGGTATTCTTATTGAATGTATAAACTATCGAAAAAAATTATTTTTAGTTGCTAGAAATTGTAATAAAATTCATAAATTACCCTTTATATCATATTAGTAGTAGATACTTCACTTTTAGTCTAAAATTACTACTAATTTGAATTCCACACGTTTGTTTTTGGAGAAATCTATATGAAAATGTTTGGAAATATGTATATTTTTATGTTTTATGTGTTTCTATTCGTTACTCATACCAAAATATAAAAAAATAAATAAAAAAAAACGAAATTAATTTTTATCTGTATGTGATTTCCGAACAATATTCCAAATATATTTTGTGTGAATTTGAAATAAATACAACGTCAAATTATTTGAAATATGTTATAAAAGTATTTTTAGTTACATTTTACACTAAAAATTAATGAGAAATGGAAAAATAACACATTTTTGACCCAACCGGTAAAATGGGCCTTCTTTTTCGTAATACAGAAATAACTCACGCACTACCACGCACTACTGTTGTAAAGAGCCATTACGTCAGAATGATTTTTATGTCTATTTTTAGTTCGAAATTGACAGATTATGGTACCAAATTAAAGAGTATGTCTTTGTCTATGTATTATACATTTCAGTATAAATTTGTTATAATTTTTAATGACAAACCTTTTTTGTCGGGTTCGCCCTCACAAATTATTAGTGGACAAATGTGTACCTTGCCGAGCCCGCGGAGGGCGTTGTGTTAGTCACATTTGTCGAGCGAAAAGGGTAATAAGATAGATAACCAACTATAATATTATACATATATTTTATATAATTATATAATACACTTATATTATAAAGATTTTTTTGTTTGTAATGGGATATACTGTACAACTAATAAACCGATTTTATAAAATCTTCTACCTAAAGAAATTTACATTATCAAAGAGTAACATAGGCATTTTTTTGAAAAATAGGTGTCCCTAAAGAAATTTGAATATTGTAATTCAATTAATCAAAAAATTGTCTATTAAATTGCCATAATTGGCGTACACTGCGAAAACTATTGAAGGTAGAATAAAATAATGAACTAAGCGTTCATTGGACTTATATCAATATGTACAAAAAAGTTCACAAGATAATTTGTCCAGCTAATATAACAGTTTTTGCGTTCTAAAATTTAATTAATAAGGTGGTAGAAACGAAAGATGATTACAATCGCATCATTGTTTTGACTCTTATACAGAAAAAAAATTCAAATTTACTTGGGTAGATGTAAATTACTCTTTAAGTTATTCGAAATGGACCTTTCGCTTAGTAGTTAACATAAATATAAAATTGTTAAACGCAAGGAAAATGCCGCAGTGTGACACTTTTTTCTTTTAGTTTGTAAAAACTATCATTAGTTTAGTAATATATAGTTATATCCCCAAACCAGCAAAAACTTAGATGCGATTACTTACATATGTGCGCAGTTACTACAAGAAGCCAGATTTATTTGTGTCGTTTTCTTGCAACCCGGAATGTAAATAAATTAGGCAAGAATTTTCTTCTAGCCAGCGAATCTTTGACTGAAGTAATATCTTAGACGAATGGTGGACCGCCAAGCACACATCCATCTTTCTACATGACTAAACCACCGAAGCATGCCTTTCTTAATCCTGGTCACAACATCATCTTGCATACCACATTTTTCTCTTATCACACAACTTCTCACCCTGTCATTCAGATTCAACCTTAGCATACTCCTCAAAGGCCGCATTTCTACAGCATTTATTCTACTTTCGTGCTTCTTCTGCCAACCTAACTTTCACAAACATGCATTAAAGTAGTGATTACACAACATTACGAATTACCATACGTGTCTTTTTTGACATATTCCGATTCTTCATAATAGAGTTTAGAGGCCCCATTCACTCTATTTCCTGCATTCACTCATCATTCTATATTCTTATCATATATACCATCCCTACTTAATACACATCCCAAATACACGAACTCTTCCACTTGCTCAACCAACTCCCCTTCTGTTCTTATTTAACATAACGTTTTACTTTCTTCTCTTTCAAAAATCATCATTTTCGTCTTCCTTGCGTTCAGTTTCATTCCCTTTCTTTTAATGCTTAGTTCATTAATACAACCATTATTTGCAACTCAGGTGCCGACGACGCAAACATGACTTGACCATCGGCGTACAAAAGGCATTTGACGGTTAACTCGCTCATACTTAACCCACATTCTTCATATTTCAAAGTTTGTAAACAAGTGTCCACTGTAAATATGTTAGGTTAGGTTAGTATAGGTTCACCCCCCCAAACGGGTTCCCGCCTTGTCGTGGCGGGGGGTCTTAGTAGCCGTAGCTTGGTCACCCGCGGTGATCAAAGAGGAACCCACATGACTGGTCCGAGGTGAAAGGCTGGCCCGAGGTGGCCGCTCCGAGTGGGCTTGGCGAGTCTTACTTTGGAAGTGTGCTGGTGGACTGTAGCGAAAGGGGTGTCCTCCCCCCTACCGCTGCAGCCGAGGTGGAGTCGCGGAAGAAGAGGAGTGTTGGTATGGCGATGCGCCATTCGCCCCATCCTCCGCGACTCAAAGAGTAAAAGAGGCGAGGCGAGGAAATTACATACAGAAAAAATTATAAGAGGCATGTCGTCTTCACTATCACTAGAATATGATGGTTCCTGGACCTGGAGCTGTTGACCTGTAGCAGATTCAATTTCGTCTTACTCTTGCTCTGAATCTGTGTAGTGTTCGCTAAATTCATTGGAGTACACCAGGTCTATGTCTTCATCCTCCAAACCACCAAAAATCTCCACGCCAGGTACTTCTAACCAGCCCAAACTACATGTGAGTTCATCCATTGTTATGCGATCCAATTATGTATTTCTACTACGTTAGTAATAGTAGGCAGTAATCACTTACCATCAGTGAGCCGCATATTCGTTTGCCCCTTCTTCCATAAAAAGAATAAGTAAAATGTAAATAATCAGAAAGCATGGAGAAACACTCAAATTCAGAACTTACTTAAATAAAATACGCAAGTTTTTACTTACGTGATTCATCACGTTGGGTCGCTGGGAGCCACGCGCGCAATAACACGTCTAGAACACACTACGAGTGCGTGAACAGACAGCTGATAGACAATGCTGCACCAATAATTACTTTTGCAATGGTACCTAAACGTTACGTTACGTTACGTAGAACAAACCAAAGTATAAAATATTTTTCCTTTTTTAAAACCTGGGCTTTTAAAGACCCTCAACCCGAAAAGACGACTCAAGCGGTAAAAATGAGCTAGTAGCCTACATACTCTTACGTCCCAATGCTGGGTAAATGTTTCCGCTTATTTCTGAAAAGGTCCGTGTTGCAGCATGCGTGTTGGTGGTGGACTTCGTAACTCGTAACCTTAAGGCTATGTATTCCTGCAAAAGTAGGCATTTAGCGCTGTCCCGGCCGCACACGAATTATTTCGCGCGGACTCCGCGGCAGTGAACTTGCATGACCCCACCAGCGACACAGTGTAGAAATAAGCAGTAGGATAACTTTTTTATTTGACTTTACAAATGCATTTTTTATGATCAAACTTTTTTTATTATAGCGATAAATTAGAGTTACATAATAAATAGAAATTTAACAACCAGTTCGCTTTTGATAGGTATGGAAACTGTTTGAGTAGAGAACTGTTTTTAAGTTTCGTGTGAACACACACAACGCTAGGGGAGAAAGTCAAACTTACAGTGAAATTCATTATAACTATTAAAACTACAGTATTTATATTTATAGCACGCAATATTTAGTCTGTGAAACCACTTTGCACCTAAAAAAAGGTGGGTCTCAATATCTACTCTGCCCCCTTAGGTAAGAGGTCGTTATGACCACATGATTTATCCATTTGAAATGTCATTTCCATACATGTATTACGTTTCTACTAGCGTTTATTACGATTGTAGAAAGACATCTTGGCTAAGGGGACAGATTTGTTTAAACAGTCACAGTATTTTTTCTTCTTATACTTACAGTATGTTTTATTTATCTCTGTAAAAAAACTTTATTTTAAGAGAAATAACTTTATTTCAAAGACTGCTTGGCATAAGAAGAATAAAGGGTTACAAATAAAACATTTTTTTAAATTTTTTTTTATTATATTCTTACTTAAAATCTCAAAATTCTTCAAAATTTATTTCTCGTGTGCTTGTATCCGGTTCCAAATCTGATGGTGGCTCAGGAGATGATAAGGCTATGGACTCTAAAGAATTATTTCCCGTTTGTGGTTCAGGTAATGGTAAGGCTGGGGAATCTAAATAATTTCACTTTCGTTGTCACCTTGTAAGAACAGCAGTCTTATCGGCATTCCCATTTGTGATTCGGGTGATGGTAAGGCTGGGGAGACTAGATAGTTTTCATTTTCCTTACCACCTTGTAATGACAGCGGTGGCATTAGTCTACAATTTCCGGCATTAAATATTTCATGTAAAATTTGACTAATTTAACTATAATTTCTGGAAAACGCAAATGGAGCCAATTTGCGTTTTCCAGAAATTATCGTCTCTTTCGATGCATTTTGTAAGCAAGGGTTCGTTTTCTCTAGCCCAAATACCGAGCAGACAGCGTCGTCTTTCAGTGACGTGGAGCTGCCCCTGTATTTGATAGAACCAATCAGATTTTTTATTTATTGTGCAACTTTTTTGTCATATTTTATAATTTGAATTTTATTTTGCTGTATTGCATTTGTAAGCCCATTTTTTGCTGCAGTTAAAGGGCACTTGACTTCGACTAGCATATGATCGCCTACTAATCCGTCTGGAGTTGCTCCAATAAATGGATAAGTCTTATCTATGAACAAACCGCAAGACATAATATTTATATTTTTTGTGTTTTGCTTTTCGTGCTATATTCCGTGTGCAACAACAGCTACACGTGACAAATTTTTTGATACAGTATATTTTTCACCAAAGGCGCAGTATTTATACTAATTTTTCTTTTACATATTTGCCCAAAATTAGATGCGGTGATTAGGTTTTTCCGTATTTCAAGCCATTCACTACTATCTCGTTGCAAAACCGTAGATCTCTCGATAGCATGCCTATCAGAAGTAAGCATTTTTAAATTATTTAAAAACTCATCTTCAGCTTTCTTTAATTCATGGGGAGACATATCTGGTGCTGAGCTCACTGGACCATAGTTATGTTTCTTCTGATTAACTTCTTTTAATTTCCGTATGTTTTTACCGGATGCTCCAAGTTTAACTTTCGTTTTCGTGCACTTCTTCTTTCAATTATCTTTACCCTGCCTTTAGGACTTTTATTTAAAGCTTTTTGGATGGCTGAAAGTGCGGATTTGCAGTTGAACGAAACAACAGCTGCTGAGCACCTCCCTTGGTAACCTCCTTTCAGTGCGTAATTTGTTCTTTTCACACCAATAAATTTAGCGATGACACTATTAAAACACTCAACAGTGTTTGTGTCAACGTCTTCCACTAAACTGCGTGATTTTGCAGCAACGTTAGAAATAATTGCATTCATCCTAAATATGAATGTTGAATTCTGGATCTTTTTGAGCTCTCCGTTGTCATTTTTATCTTTGGTGCAATAATATTCCTCGCCAAAATCATGTGCTACACAGTTAATTATATCATTGTGAAGACCTAATATTGCTACATTGTGAGGACTGCCAGAAGCTTTGTGATGTTTTATACATTGCACAATAGATTTTCGCATCGTCATAATTTTGACATTGGTGAGCATTTTACGGTGTGCTAAAACGTATTTTGTTTCTGTGTTCAGACTACGTAGTTTTTTGCAAAATTTACGCAGTATATGATTCCGACATTAAATTTTTTCGACGGTAACATTTTCGGTCTCATACAGCCTGGCTTTGAGGATTGCAGCGTAAGTAGAAGCATCTCCGTCTCCTATCATTCGTTCGTATATAATGTCATACATTGGGATCGACGCCTTGAAACCTGCTACAATTATTTCGGTTTCCATGGAGCTAGAAGAACCTGCATAATTTTTAAAGCATTTGTGTGGCTTTGGTGACATATTTTTGTGCTCAGCTCGAGCGCACACTAAGCAATATTTGTTTTTTATTCCAATGTAAAAGACTTGGCCTGTTCTTCTGCCGATTATGGCTGCTGTGCCTGATGACGCTTTATAGTTTGTGCCGTAAAATCTAGCACACCATGAGCCGTCAACGTAGACATCAATCATAGGAATGCCGTTCTTAGTTCAACCTTCTGCGATAGTGATATCCTTCTCCATTTGAGCTGCAGCTTCCATGGAAGCACTTGCCGTCTTTTTCCATTTTTCAAATACTTCATCCTCTAAATTCGAATAGTATTTTGAACTGAAAACTGGAATATCCATAGCTGAACATAATTCTTCAAATTGAGAGAAGCTGATACCGGAAGCCACAATTCCAGTAGTAGCAGCTATATTTAGATTTACTTGTTCTTTGTCGTTATGGTCTTCAGAGTTCATCAAAAAAACTTGTTTGCACATATTGCATTCAAAACGATAAACCGATAAAATTCCTCGACGTTTTTCACTAATTGAACGGAAGTTACCCTATGTGCAGTTAAATAGATCGTTATGACAAGCTTTTTCTTGTAATTCTTGTAAAATATAGTTTATATCAATAATTCGACGTCCCGAAACAGGTTGAAATTCATCTTCTTTTTGTTCATTCTCTACGATTAGTGGATTTTCTGTCTCTTCAGTATCTCTGAAACAATGAACGCATAGGGTAAGTATTACATCTTTTAGATCAAGTATTATTATACCAGCTTATGCCCCCTGCTTCGCTCGCGCTAAAGTTTATTTTTCTATCCCTCGGGAACAATATCTTTTTTCTGGATGGATGGCATATCCTTTTCTGTACCTACTATATGAGGTATAAATTTTTAAAAGTTTTTGATGTACAAAATGTAAAGTTATACACTGACAAAGAAAGATAAAAATATATATTATTAGTTTGTACGATAACATAAATGTTATCGTACAAACTAATTTCATAACAGCATATTTTATTATTAGATAGTTAGACAGTTGAAATGTTCACAGATGATGTATTATTTTATTATTTATTATTAACAAAAATACTGAAAACTAGAATAAAATAAATATTTTAGGGGGCCCCCCATACAACAAACGTTATTTTTTGGCCGTTTTATAGAAATTAGTACGGAATTCTTCGTGCGCGAGTCCGACTCACACTTAGCCAATTTTTTAATCTATGATAATTACTTACCTATTTTCAGTGTTTTCGGCAGGTAGCAGATTTATTTCTGTTGCGGTTTCCATGTCAGTATATTGAGGCTGCTCCAATGACCTACCATGTAAATGGAGTACCTATTAGTTTTAGTAGGTATTAACTTTTCGTTTGCAAACGGCAGGCAGAGCTACCGATATATACAAAATATGAATTATCAAAAGTCATAACGATCTTCAGTAGTCTTACTGATATTCTGATGCACAATGGCACTATGACAGTAATTTTAGGCATTATATTTTTATAAATTACCAATTAGACATTGAAGTGAAATAAAATCTAACCTAAGGTAACTAGTTACATTTTAGTTTGTGAACGACCAAATTATACAAATGTTTACTTACTTCTTTACATATCTTTCGAGTGCATTTTTTATTCGTTATTTTTATGGCTTTGCACGACTTTTTTCGCTTCCATTATTTATTGCCCATTATGAATAACTAACAACAATTATATAAACTCGTCAAAAACTGATTTATTGGTGCACGGAGAAAACTGAAACAAGTCCGTCGTCCATAAGCGCCAGCGCGCGACTTGTCAGGCTTGCCGAGCCGCCGCGCTCGCGCTTTTAGGAGGTATCTAAATATAGTAATTAACACAATATTTTTATAATTCAAACTCTGCGAATTTGTCTGTAAAAATTAAGTGGCTTTAGTTGAGTACAAAATTTAAGTGTAAAATGTTAGTAGTTTAGTCATAATATTGACAAAACAATACAAAAAGGAGTCACTTCGGGATTTTTTTCTATTGAGTGAAGTTCTTTAGATTTTGTAACTGAATGCGATTTTGACTAGAATAGATCCTTAACTAATACATATATTTTTATCAGAATTTAAAACACGAATTTCTATGCCTCAGATGGTTTAAAAGAACTCAAAAGCGCGGCCTCTGAGAAATACCTAGCCTTAAAATATTTTTAACTTCTAGGACGTGCAAATTTTCCCACCATTTTTTCACGCTCATTATCTTATCCCCTAATATGGATATAAATATAAATGTCGCAAGGATATATTATATTCTTGACGAGCATTGCAATTGGAAGGCACACATGTAAAGCATTTGCATAAAATTGGGCAGATTCGTATTATATGTCCTTAGGCGTTTAAGATGTAGAGCTGGAGAAAAAACGGCGCTAACCGCATACCACGACGTATATATTGAAAGTATACAACAACAGTACGCACATGTCGGGACTGATCGCGTGTAGTTTCAATTTGTTATGAGCATAACAATTTTTAGAAACTATACATGGTTATAACGCTTATATCGCGTATATTTTCCAATAAAGTACGCTTAAATTTCGAGCGAAAAACATACTGCACCAGCTAAAAACATACATCGAGCATAAACGCGATAAAGTGTATGTTATTAATGTGTGTAGATAGTATTTGTATGTTACACAAAATAAAACTAATATTATAATTAAACTTATAACAACTTCCTGTTCGCCAGACAATTCCGTGAAGAAATAAAAAAAAATAAAAGAAAATGTACTACGTAGATTATATAACATACATTGACTAATATTGACCCTTCAAGTTACTGCCGTAACAGCTTCGACACTGCTGGAAGTTCAGCCCCTGTCCTATGCCAATGCGTAGCAAATCGCAGTCAACCATTGGCGGGCGAGGGCTACTCTCCCTCCGCGCGTACGAATTTACAAAAACACTCTAGGGGTAGGGCAGACAAGACTACGTGGAGTTGCAGCGTGCTGATTCAGTTTTAATATCTGTCGAAATGATTCGACCAATCATCTTATTAGCCGTTTTTTCGCGATAAGCATAGATTTTTCCGAAAATTTGGTTTATCATATTATTATCTTACGACATGTATAAAGTAAACATATTTATATTTAATTATGACAGTGAATGTCGTAAAACAGTATATGTCAAATTGACAATTAATTGTATTTATTGTTGAAAGTAATTGGATATATTATGAAAATAAATAAGATTTAAGCATTGAGCTATTATGTACTATGTACTAGAGGCGACACTGCATTCAGCTACTCTGCTCCACTCAACTGCGGTGCATACACCGCACTTTAATCAGTCACTCGCTAGGCGCTTATAGAATTGTCACGTGTTGTGTTGATTTAAAAAAATCTCTTGATAAAAATATGCAGTCGTGATTTAAGAAATGTCAGTAAAAACCAAGGAATTACTTTTCATCGGTTAATAAGATACTTAATCAATAAAAAAGTATTATGTATTAATAATAAAACAAATTATTCTTAAGACGTCATCTCGTATCAGGGAATATAGATTATGAAATTAATATATTCAGATGCGACATTTCTGTGGGTACTTAATTACCTATATGACGAATATATTATTATACACATTTTTTTGTAGAAACATATATAGGTTATTATAATTTGGCAAAATTTTTCATGTTTAAATCTGCTTATTATTCTTTTATTTTATTTTTAGGTTTCCACATCACAGTCAACGTGGAATGAATTCGTCCATTTTTAACTCTCGCGTGCCCAGCGTTTATGAACGACTTTGATTCTAATTTAAATAAATATATTTGTAATTTAAATGATATGTTAATAAGTTTTGTTAAACATACATTTAGTATATTTTTTATATTTGACTTACATACCTTTTAACATATTCAGACAAAAATATCATTAAATTGTAATTGTGATATAATATCATGTAATAATATATCAAATAAGCATGTTTATAATAACATAATAAGTTATCATCTTTTCATTTAGAGGCCAGGGAAAAATGCTATTATGTAAATGAAAGTTTGAGGTTATAACAGCTGTCAGATAAGGTCGGTACACTTATTTTTCTTTCCACACCATAGTAATAAGCCATTAAAAATCGTATTTAATCATAAATTAATGAATCATAAAAAAAATTGGTTATTTTGAACATTCATAAATCACATGACAAATGAGCAAGTTTTTCGTAGTCTGAAACGGAACGTGTAAAACACGTTTTTAATATTCTGCAAGGCGTCGCCGGACGTGAAAATTACACTATTTAGATGTTTCTGCCAAGCGTTTTAAACATGTTAACTCTGGGTTGACTATACCAAGAAGACACATGATAGTGTACGGGTAACTTATAATAATATTTTTAGACTTCTAATGGGATTTAAACGTAGCGCTTCTGAAATGCACGCGAAAACCCGGGTTGACTCTTTTAATGCAATCCATCGAAATACCCTCTTTCTCTCCCTTGAGCATCATTTATGTCCAGAGTTATGGGTAAATTTATGTGTAATAACACTATTGTGCGTAGTTTGGCACATAGACAGATAGAGACTGCAATGCACAGGCGGTGGATGAAAATTACTGGGTGACGATATACTTTTAGAAATATTGCGTGTAAATATTGCAACATGTTTATTCTTACTATCCTATATTATTAATTTGTCTTGTAAATATGGATCTCTGTGTCTGCTATAAAGGATTATTATTAATATTTCG